AGGGTTGTTAGAATCGACGATATGGGAGAATGATAGGAGATGATGGAATGAATTGATCTAATGTCTATAATACCTTGTGTGGTTTTCATGTAAATGAGCTGCATTTTGCGTTTGTTCATTTCAAATGCAAAATTGATGTGAATTTGTTGAATTCACATCATCTTATTCTATGATCGTACCCCTTCAACATATATTTTATATGTCTGTCATGTGTGCTTTTGTAGATTATGGAGGTTTTGGATGATTAATTGTTTTTGTTTTGATTGCTGTGCAGATTGGGGGTCGACAATATATTGTTTTTCCAGGGCGTTTTCTGTATACACAGAGGCTGAAGGGTGCAAATGTTGATGACAAAGTAAGCCTTAAGCGCAATTCCTTATGGACTCTTTCTTCTTTATCAATTCACTTTGAATTGTATTTTTTTTTTTTCTTTTTTTTTTTCATTTAGCATCAAATATTTCTTTTATCGCCTTCATTTGGACTTGGCTTTCTTTTTTTCAAGTTTACTTGTGTCGTTTGCAAGCACATTAACTTCATTTTGTGAAAAGATATTTACCAAAACGTAGTAGTTTTGAATTTATTTATCATATAATTATATTGAAACATACTTTAGTATTTAACTCAAATTGGTATATGTAGATAATTCTGAACAAGGTGTTGCTCGTTGGTACAAAAACTAGCACATATATTGGGAAGCCTGTGGTGCCTAATGCAGCTGTACATGCTGTGGTGGAGGAACAGGTATTTTGTCATCTTGTTAATTTTCTTTCTATGTCCCCACTTTTCTTTTTTCCATTAAGTAACTGCTGGATAAATGATAAATCTGTAAACAACTAGGACTTAATGTATTAAGTTGTTCTTTCTGCATTGAGTAAAAAAGAAACACTCATATATAGCTTATTGGTTTTATTGCACACTGTATAGGGTTTGGATCCAAAGGTGGTGGTCTTCAAGTACAAGAAGAAGAAGAATTACAGGAGGAATATTGGTCACAGACAGGTATTGTATTTGTATGCATGTCTAGCAATATTATAGTATCTGAGTGAATAAATTTCATTTTTTTTTTTTACTTGGAACCAATTATGCAGCCAAACACTCGAATTCGGATAGTGGGCATCACGGGATATCAAGATTCCCCAGCATCAACTCTCCCCTGATTTAGGAACTGTGGTGACTTGTTTTATTACATCTTTGTAATTGAGAAATACTTTAATCATTAGTGTAGTTTGTATTTTTTGGTTTCTCTTTGATGTATGCTTTCTTTGCAATCTACACAAAATGAGGATAACTGTCTCTAGTATTTTATAGTTGGTAATGATCTTACTTGCATGATGAGCTAGTCTCGAGTATTTATAGTTGGTTGATGACATGTTAGGCATGTCACTATATCATAGTACAAGGTAGTGGTCATTTTACATTACATCTATGCATCTATAAAGCTATAATCGAAATGCCATGATTACATGTAGTTTACTCCCCACAAGATATGGTACAAATAAAATTTTGGAACTTGCTTTTGGATTTTGTTTGGCGTTGTTTAAGTGAATATGTGATTTTTTGGAGTCTTTAATGAAGTTCGGGACTCTATGGAGAGGTTTGGTTTGATGTATTGTCAAAAACAATCGGACCAATTTAATAGAGATTGATAGGTTTTTGCTTTCATAGAGATTGGTGATTTGTTCTCCAAGGCTATTGTTTTAGTCTTGGAGTAGGAGTGTTCCGACCATAAACCGGTCTTACCAAAAGATTTGGTGGTAAACTATGAACCCTCCATTTGACGATAGTCCGATCTTTACCAAAATAATTTGTCTTCTCCTTCTAGCCCCATATGTAACTTTATTAATCATGAGCCCCCATCAAGAATATTAATAACCGAAGGCAACGCTTTTTTGAATCTCATACAAGAGTCTTGGAGATGATGTTGGTAACACACCCTATAAGATGGCTTGGTGTCGAGAGATAGATCCTTCACCTTTTGAAATAAGAGATAGTATAAAGTAAGAGTTACTCCTTGGATTGATGATGGCAAACCCCTCAAAGAGCTTCATCCTTGAAAACATCACCACCAATGATATTCCATTTTTTTAAATGAATACGATTGACTTGTCATCTGGATCGAGGGTTTTCATTGCAACAACCCCAAACAACCATTTTGACTTCCTTAAGGGATGACGAGCTTCAAGCATATTACTTTACTCTTCACAATACTTCACTCTTCGATAGTCTTTACAAATTTAACACTATGAAATCTTGGCTTTTGCGAAATATTTTTTCTAAATTGTGGGAAAAGAATTTGAATACATATTCCTTAATGCAAACTGAGCTGGAGACCCAAGACTCGTTAAGGTTAAGACCATACATTCTAGACCTTTTATGTTTTTTGTTAACCACGACATGGAAAAATTTCATGTTTTGTCCCCTTTAAGAGTTAATGTCACATTAACTTTTTGCTTAATATCCAAAACTTTTTTGAGAATCGAGGTTTTGAAACTTTTTGGTGTCCAAGAAAAACAAATAATAATATGAGTGTAACATAGGGAGGGCAATGACACCCGCATACGAAAAATGAGAAGAAAATCGGCTTGTGACAATATCCCGATTCAATTTGCTAAGCTTGGATCCATACTTGTTGATCCATGAAAAACGCTTCCTGCCTAGCTTATCCAAAAGTCAATGTGCATGTTGTTATTATGTGATTTTGAGATGTTATAGTTGTGGGTAGATGTTAAAATACTGTTTGGTTGTAGTTTTCTACTTTCTTATGTAATATTGTAGCACAAGTTGTTGTACATAATACATTTTATGACATGAATTGAAAATGAAACACTAATAATATTTCGAAAAAAAATATAATCGTATCAAATTTACAAAACAAATTTAAGTGTAGATTTCAAAACATCCGACATTAAAATAGCTATTAACTCAGGGACAAAGCTTGCTTATGCTTTGTGCTAGGAGATGCCCTCCTCCCCAGATTGTTTTGATAGAAATAGTCTGTACTTTTTAGTTTTTAATACATATTAGGCTTAAAAATATAAAGCTTATGTTGTGTCTCCCCTCTCTCCAATTTTTATATACATTATACTTTTGCTCCCCCAAAATAAATGTTCAAGCTCCGTCACTATATTAACGGAAGGATTACACAAATGCAAAATAAAGCAATAATGTTATAGGTATCAAGCCTTTTCATTTTGATGTTCATACTTTGTGACAACTTTAATAAATTTGTCTGATGTAGATCTCTAAAAATAAAAAGTAAAATTTTAATGAATCACGATTTAATATATCTTACATAAATTTAAAATAATGTGTCAATTAAATAATTAGAAAAAGTGAAAGTCTATTGATCAAACCGTCAATAATAAATCGCACCACATACCACTTGCTAAAAAAATTTCAGTGCGATTTATACCAAGGTTGTTAAAATCTCAATTATGACCTTAAGATCTTACAATTTTAAGATCCTATAAGTGAAAAATGATTCCGATCACACTACGATCCCGATCTCTCTCTCTCTCTCTCTAGTTTTATGATATAGCCTAGTATCAAAAACTTATCTATTCAGCTTGAAATCAAGCATGGCAAGTTGCAAGAAGTCTTGTAAATCATCATCATCATCATTTCATCAATTTATTTAAAATTAAGCAAAACACACTCATATTAATCTCTTTATAATCTTATGTCTTTAGTTGTGCACGATCAAAATGATATTTTATTTTCTAATTAATTTGGTTTCTTCTTAGTTTTTACGGTTTGTAATAATAAAAATCATGGTTCATGCTTAACAAGTTAATTTTGATTCCACTATCGATGTTTTAGTGAACATCAAGCTATAATGTTTACTTCACACCTATTATCTTGCAAAAAAAAATTGAATATGAGTTCATTTTGATAGAATCTTTCAATCCCGATCTGATCTTATGATCACGATTTGGCAAAACATAAAACGCTCTCAAGTATGATCTTGATATTGATAACCCTGGTTTGTAGTTTCTAAAAACTCAAACAAAATCTATGATGCAGGTTTGACTGTAAACCATAACACATTGTACCATGAACACACCTCTAGTAGATATAACTTCCATTTTATATGGTAATTTTAATAAATGCATGTTTAGAAAATAGCTTTAGAAAGGCATGTTTGACACAGATCAGTTGGAAGCCTTTAAGAGCTTTTAGCTTCTAGCATTTAACATCTGACTAAACGCTCGTTTTTGAACAAAAAGTCTCGTTTGACACTACAAACTTTTAAAGTTTAGTTTAAACAAAACAATCAATATCCAAGAGCTATCTCACATAACTCACGTAACAACAAAACACTACCAAGTGCTCGCTGCCCGCTAGGGTTGTGCATGGGTCAATTTGGGTCGGTTTTGGACCCAAACCCAACCCAACCTATAAATGGTTGGTTTATGGTTTTCAGAACCCAATAGGATTGGTTTCTGGTTGGTTCGGTTTCTCGGATTCTAAGGTTGATTTGGGTGGTTTTTCGGTTTCTTGGGTTCAACCCATACACTTGTGGGTTATGGGTTTAAACCCATGGGTTTTGGGTTTTAACCCATTTTCCAAAAATGAGGCAAGAAGTTAAATACTTCAAAAAAACACCAAATTGAAGTTAAATACTTCAAAAAAAACATGAGTCGTATAGCCAAATAGTTTATTACAAGTTATAAACAAAGTCCGAAATAGTCTATTACAACCAAAACACGATCCAATATGGGTCGGTTTCTATGGTTAGATGGGTCGGTTTATTGGGGTTGTTTGTCTGTTTTAAGTATGTGTCGGTTTCTCGGGTTGAATAGGTTGGTTTCTAGGTAAAAACCGAAACCGAATCCGTTTTTTTGGTTTTTAAAAAATTCAAACCCTAACCATCGGTTGGTTTTGCTTTGGTTTCGGTTGGATCGGTTTTCGATTTCTTGGTTTGGTTTGTTCACCCCCGCTGCCCGCTATCCCATAAATACAACCTACTAGTTTTTGCTAAACCGGGCATACTTGGTTTGGTCAAAAACTCCACGCCTTGCTGGATTTATTAAGCAGGTTCACTCGTTTAAGGGTTTTAGCCACAAATTAGTCCATAACAACTGCAGCATTTCTTCTTTTTAAAGTCTGGACGCGTGTTCTTTGTATCGTTGATTGGTAACGCAAGCAAGCGTAAACACAAAGGAATCATTAAAGAAACATGGAAAAATCCCTGTCGTCGTCGTCTATGTCGAATCGAGAAGGCTCGCCGGAGCTTCAGTGCATCGGTGAACTAGAAATCGTGAAGGCAAAACCACCGGTTGGTTTTCTCTGCGGGTCTATCCCTGTGTCTACTGATAAATCTTTCACCGCCTTCGATTCTGCTCTCGTTCCTTCTGCTCCAGCGTAAGAAATCTGATCAAGCCTTATTGAAACCCTATTTTTTGCACACGATTGATTATAAGTTTAACGACCATTGCCGATTGTTCTTAGGGAGGGAGCGCCAAGGTACCGGGTGATTCCGACTGAGACTAATCTCAAAACTTTGCCGTTTCGGCCAAATATTCCGGAAAAGGTTCTCCCGATGGTTGCCGCTCATTCTAGGACCGGTGGAGGTATAGTTTTACTTGGCTTATATGTTCAAACCTATTGATAACATTCGGTACTGTTAGGAGTACGATCGTCAAATAGCTTCATACATTGAGTTCGTCAATATAGGGTGGTTATTGGCCTGCTTCGCTACTTTGAGCACTGGAATGTGACACATAACCAATTTGAGATATTTTTAGATGCAGCTTAGTACTAGCTTTTTGGTAAATTTTATGAGCTCATCTTATTAACATGTGGTTTGAATTCACATAACTAAAATGTCTGGACAGGAATATTGATACAGTAGAATTCACGCCTTAATTCAATTCTAAATTATGAAATTCGTTAATACAAATAGAAGGTTCAAGTGGTTGTATGAAATTACCTACCATATTCTTGTTCTATCATTTTTTTTTGTGTAGATTAATTCGAATTAGCAATATAAGACTTTGATGTAATATGCATATGAGTGTATGACACATGATATGGAAAGATGATCTCTAACTTTTCTTGATGTACTTTCTAGATTTGCCTTATGAAAGTGCCACTATTGCATCAAACCTTAGAAGGAAAGGAGAAGCCCTTGCTGTATCTGGTTTAACAGAGTACGAAGATGAAATCGATGTTATTGCTCCAGCTGACATTCTCAAGCAAATATTTAAAATCCCATATTCCAGGGCTCGACTCTCAATTGCAGTACATCGTATTGGACAGTCTCTTGTATTAAATACAGGGTAATGGAATCACAAATTCCAGTTCCATCGAATTTCACCACAATCCGCATATTAGTAACACTTTTTTAATAACTTCTTGTACTGCAGGCCTGATGTTGAAGAAGGAGAGAAACTGGTTAGAAGACATAAGCAGTCACAATGTGCAGAAAAATCTTTATTTTGGAATTTTGCTATGCATTCAGTCCGGATGGAAGCATGTGATTGTCCTGCAACTCAAAATCCTGAGCCAGAGGAGCGGCTGAATTCATCATTCCTGCCTGGAAATAGAACTTCTGAGTATTCACAAGGGAAACAAGATAGTTTTTTATGGGGAGGGAAGAAGAATCAAAGAAACAAAGATAATGATGATGTAAAAAAGGTCACACAAGTCAAAGAAAAGTCAAGATCCTCAATGCAAGAATCGGATATGTATAGAAGAGTGAATCGTGATGGGTTCTTGAGGGTTCTTTTTTGGAAATTTAATAATTTACGTATGTTTTTGGGGAGTGACTTGCTTATATTCAGTAATGAGAAATATGTTGCAGTGAGTTTGCACTTGTGGGATGTATCTAGACAGGTTACTCCATTGACATGGCTTGAAGCTTGGCTTGATAATGTGATGGCAAGTGTACCCGAGTTAGCCATCTGTTACCATCAAAATGGGGTTGTTCAGGGATACGAGCTGTTGAAAACAGATGATATTTTTCTTTCCAAGGGTGTATCTGAAGATGGGACTCCTGCTTTTCATCCTCATATTGTCAGACAAAATGGACATTCGGTTTTGCGGTTCCTTCAAGAAAATTGCAAGCAAGATCCTGGAGCTTATTGGGTATTTCTTGGCTCTAGTTTATCACATTTTAGCTTCTTATAATGATAATTTGCTAGTATTTTGATTTTGATTTTTTTTTCCGGTTATGTACAGCTGTACAAAAATGCTGGCGAGGATAACATTCAGCTTTTTGATCTTTCTGTTATTCCCAAGAGTCATGCTACCAACAACTGTGATGATGACCCTACCTTTATACCTTCTTTAATTAACAGAGGGAGAAGTGATTCTTTACTCTCACTAGGGGCGCTTCTCTATCGTGTTGCTCACCGGCTTTCACTTTCCGTGGTGGGGTTTATATTACATCTCTCTCTCTCTCTCTCTCTCTCTCTCTCTCCAATAGTAAATAGAGGATTTACATATTTCTAATACATTTTTTCTGCTGCAGTCTCCTCATAACAGGGCAAGGTGTGCAAGGTTCTTGAAGAAATGTCTTGATTTCCTTGATCAGCCAGATCAACTGGTAGGTAGCTTATTTTGTTTGATGGGTGTGTCATCTTTGGGGGCATTTGGATAGCCAATTTCATTGGATTTGGATGGAATTGGAATTCAATTTCATTCCAGTCCCACGTTTGGTTGCAAATGGGTACATAATTGGATCTTGTTAGAATTCACAAAATCCTTTGACTGATGGATTCCAACACTCCATTCTAAAACCAATAGAATTAAATTCCCAACATTTTCTCCTTGTTAAAAAATACTAGAATATTTTCTACCATAGAACTAAAAGCATCCCGCGTCTCCATCTTCTTTCCCTTTTTTTGCTTAAGAATTCAACTCTATTTCTTGTAAACCAAACATGTGACAGAATTCAATTCCTTAAAATTCCAATTCCTTCCAGAACATTTTACAAACCAAACTCCCCCTGTGATATATGCGTAGTTAGTAATCTTCATAACCAATATCAATCAAACTAATTATTATTTCATTATAATCAACATGTTGTACGCGCATTTGCTCATGAACAATTTGCAAGGCTACTTTTGGATTACGATGAAGATCTGGATTTGACATCAGAAGTTATTGTAGTTGATGCCGAAGAAGATTCCGACGAATGCTTCACTGGGATCTCTGAATTAATAACCCAAGAAAGTTTCAATCCCAACAAAGAGGACGAAAACGGAACAAATACACCCGAATCCACAAAACTTTTGGAGTCAAACGAGACCGAATCAGTAGACACCATAATCAAGCCAACTTCTAACTACGAAACTGTTGAGTTATCTCCTACATCCACCCCTGTAATTCAGCATAATGTTGATCTAATCTCTTCAAAGCTAGCAGCAATACACCATGTCTCTCAGGCTATCAAGTCTCTAAGATGGAATCGCCAGCTACAAGGCTCAGGAACACATAACAGACCCGACCACAGTGCACCATTACCAATCGATTTCTCTGTTTGTGCATGTGGCGACACCGATTGCATTGAAGTTTGTGACATTCGAAAATGGCTTCCAACTTCAAAACTCGATGATAAATTATGGAAACTTGTTCTTTTACTTGGAGAATCTTATCTTGCTTTAGGAGGAGCCTACATGGAAGACAGTCAACTCCAACAAGCCTTCAAAGTTGTCCGTTTAGCATGCTTAATTTATGGGTCAATGCCACAGCATCTTGAAGACACAAGATTCATCTCCTCAATGAGTTCATTAGAGATCGATATCCACAATACAGAAAACAAAACCGAATCGATAGTCGCCCATTATCTTTTCTGGGCTAAAGCATGGACACTTGTAGGAGATCTGTATGTTGAATTACATTTAAAGAAACCCGATGAGAAACCACCTGCTCGAGAGTTAAAAGTGTCACCAGAAGTTCAGAAGGAGGTTGAAAGACTTAAGAAGAAACTCGGGAAGTTTAACCAGAGTTGTTCTTCTTGCTCATTGGTTAACTGTAGTTGCCAAAGTGATCGGGCCAGTAGCGGGAGTAGTGCGAGCAGTAGTACTGGAAACACTCGTTCATTCAGAAAACCCTCTGAAAAAACCGGTTCCAAGAGCTTATCTTATTCATCTGACGTGGCAAAACCTTCCACAGAGACTGAATCCGATTCAAAAGAGAATAACGGTGGCATTTTCAAATACCTTAATTGTTCTAACCATAAAGATTTAGACCATAATCTAACTACTGCTCTTCATTGTTATAAAGAATCCCGAAAATGTTTAGAGGGGCATTTTAGTAATTCGACCGAGTTACAATCTCTTCTCAAGAAGAAAGGATGGGTATGCAATGAATTAGGCCGAATGAGACTTGAGCGAAAGGAAATTAAAAAAGCCGAACAAGCTTTTTCTGAAGCTATCAGTGTGTTCAAACAGGTTTCTGATCATAACAACATTATCTTAATCAACTGTAATTTAGGCCATGGAAGAAGAGCAGCAGCTGAAGAGATTGTATCACAGATGGATGATTTAATTTTCAACAATGCTCGCAGCCAGAATCTTGAAGCTGCAAAATCACAGTATTGTGAATCACTTAAATTTTATCGAGCAGCAAAGAAAGAAGTCGATAGTGTTGGTGAAGAATCCAGTGTCCTTTCTAGCAATCTTAGCAACGAAGTTTACACACAATTTGCTCATACATATCTAAGGCTTGGAATGCTTTTAGCGAGAGAAAATACAACAGCTAAAGTTTATAAATCTAAATTGGAATTTGGGAAACATGAGATTTCAGCGAATGATGCGATTACAGAGGCTTTGTCAATGTATGAGTTATTAGGGGATTTAAGGAAACAAGAGGCTGCGTATGCGTATTTTCAGCTTGCTTGTTACCATAGGGATTGTTGTTTGAGGTTATTGGAGACTGATTCGAAGAAAAGCAGTGTTTTGAAAGGTGAAAATAGTGTGGTCCAAAGAGTGAAACAGTATTCCTCAATGGCTGAGAGGAATTGGCTCAAGTCTATGGAGTTTTATGGGCCGAAAACGCATTCTACAATGTTTCTGACCATTTTGATTGAGAGGGCAGCTTTGTTATGTAGCTTGGCTAAGTCATCTAACGCGTATCCGGTATGTTGACACCTGTATTAAGTCATTTTAAGTCAAAAAGGACTAGCATGTGCCATGTGGTAGTTTATTAACTAATTTTGATGTTTTTGCAGATGTTGGAATCAGCTCTGAATACTCTTCTTGAAGGACGCCAGGTGCCTGTAGACAAAATCACATTACAAAAGGATGATTCTAATGTGTACAAAAGATATTGGAGTCAGCTACAGATGACATTAAAGAGCATGCTAGCAGTAGCTCTTCCTACTAACACCAAGAAACCTATTGCAACTTCCCAACAAAGCACCCTGCCATCTGGAGATCTCAATAAACTCAAGGATCTTTACCGGTTATCTTTAAAGGCCACCGAGTTCACTCAGTTGCAAGCCATCCACAAGTTATGGGTATCTTAAGATAAAACCAATCTCATCAGGTATTTTTGCAATTCTATGATTTTATCCATTAGGTATTGTCTACACATTACATTAGCAACACCGAAAAGAAAATTGAAAAAAAAAAAACAGGATGATTTTCTTGAGTTAATCTTGTGTTTTATTACTTTGACTGTCTCCTAAAGCTTCTGCTAAATCAAACTTTAGAGTTCCTCGTGTCGTTCTGCTTCCAGTCCCTCCATCCGCCTTTCTCATCATCGCAGCAAATTCTCCATAATCTATCCGTCCGTCCTGTCACGCAAAACCAATGTCAAATTACAACAAAAAAGACGTAAATACCCTTACTCCAAGCCCAAGCCCCCAAATCCTAACATGCTTACATGATCTTGATCAATTTCCTTGATCATTTCTTCCAATGGAACATCTTGTAAACCGAAATCTCTACACGCTTGTTGAAGCTCATCTTGTGTTATATACCCACTGTTGTCCTTATCAAAAAAAGAAAAAGCTGCAAGCAGGTTTTCCTCTCTTTGCATCTTGTTTAAATGCAGTGTTGCTGTTAAAAATTCAGTGTAATCAATTGTCCCACTGTTATCGGTATCCACTGCATTCATAAGCTCCACGAGTTCAGATTCCATTACATTGTTGCCAATTCCAGCCAACCCTTCTTTCAGTTCTTTAAATGTTATCGTCCCACTATGGTCTGTATCAATCGTTTTAAATAACTGCTTTAAACCACCGATCTCTTCTTCCGAAAGCCTTCCCGCAATCACCTAGAAACATTTATAGAAAATATTTAAACCTAAATGTTGGATTATTTATTAAAAAAGATGAAGAAAATACAAACGTACGCGTAAAGCCATCTTTTTGAGTTTGTTCATGGCGGAAAACTGTTTGAGGCGTGATACAACCGTAGAATCTAATGGGTTGTCGGGGGCAACTTGGTCATCCATGATCCATGGGTGATCTGGTTTTCAATTCAAAAGCAGTTATAACACAGTGGAGGGAGAGTGCGGTTGTTATAATTTTAATATGAGAATTTAGAACTCACTCACGTAGGACTTGATGAGCGGTTATTCTTTGCTCTGGGTTTCTATCGAGCATTGTTTTGATTAAATCTTTAGCGGTTTCGGTAATTTGTGGCCAGGGTTCCGATTCAAAATCGAGTTGTCCTGTTAAAATCTTTTTAAAGATGCCCGAATCCGTCTCTGAAACCCAAATCACATAAAACATAAAACTAGTATCATAAAAATCGGTTTCTTGGAAAAATAACTCTCATTGTAGTTCAATATTTTACAGTTTTGTGTAACAGAGTCTGTTAATGTCCAGTGTAACAAACGCAATTGCAGACTAAAGTCTAACCTGCCCAAAAAGGTGGAACCCCGGATAATAATATGTAAAAAATAACCCCGGCACTCCACACATCGATTTCCGGGCCATAACGTTTATGCAAAACTTCCGGAGCAACATAATAGGCACTTCCAACCATGTCACACAGATACTCTCCTGAAACACATAAATATGTTACAAGGTTTTATCAAACGAAATGGATTTGAAATCCGTCAAAAAAAGAAAGAAAGAAACCTGGTTTGTAGAAAATGGACAACCCGAAATCAATGGCTTTAAGCTGTGCGTTCTCTTCATGACTATCAAACAAAAAATTCTCGGGTTTAAGATCACGGTGTATAACACCAAGAGAACGACAAGCCACCACCACCTCAACAATCGTCTTCATGAATTTAGCCGCTTGTCTTTCACTATACCACCCTTTGTTAACAATCCGATCAAAAAGCTCACCACCTGTACATAACTCCATCACCAAATGAACAAAAACATTGTCTTCATAAGTGCATTTGATCCTTACAACACATGGGCTTTCAGACAAATGATGCATGATTTGAATCTCCCTCCAGACATCATCATAATCATCTCTGCATAAAAGCTTCCGTTTGGGGATGGATTTGCAGGCGTAATCGATTCCGGTGGATTTTTCGGTGCAAAGGTAGGTGGTGCTGAATTGGCCGTGGCCGAGCTTGTTTCCGATTGTGTAATGGTCCCTGAGGTTTGGGGTTTCGTGTGGGAGGACGTTGGTGCTTGGTTTCTTCATGGATCTTGATGAATTATTTCCTCGTTTTCTGAGATTTTTCTTTTGCAATTGCAATTTGGAAGATTGTTTGATTGATGTCTGGGAATGTTGAGAAAAGTATATTATAAAAATGAAATATCATTGGACTATTGGAAAATGAATATTGTATTTTCGAACAATGATCCAAAATAGGTAGTGTTGCACAATTAGAAAGAGGAGTTTGTATAAATGAAAATAACATTCACAAATAGAAAAAAAAAAAAAATTCATTAATGGATTATAATTTTATTCAAAAAATTACCGTCTATTTTGTAGTTTTTTTTTTATTATTATTCTTAAAAGGCAAGTTTTGCAAAATTTTCTTTTGGCCTATGATATCATCTTTTTGTTAACTGACATCTACCATTTCAAAATAAATAAAATAAAAACTGCATTTGTACTTTCACAACGTACATTTCACAAGATGGATGGTTATTTATTATATTTGTTTAAAAGATGTTCATTTTGGTTCATTCACTCCTTATTTTGGTTATGTCCTGTTTTTGGTTGTGTCCAATTTATTTTTTATTTATTTATCATTATTTTTTTCAAAACAAAACCTATTAAACTCCTCAACATTACTACTCCCCCATCTTTTTCGACTTCTACATGCTAAGCTTACGTGACTTTATGAAAACCTGCGACAATAAAAATACCTATGTGACAATGTGCTAGAAGTGCTACCATTTTCTCCGCCTTAAGATAAAAAAAAGTTAAAAACACATAAGTTACAGCAGGAAACATAAGTTACAGCAGGAAGAAAACTACAATTGGAAGAAAACCACCACACCACTATTGCCAAGATTGTTATTTCGAATCCATAAGAATGTTATTACTTAACCAATTGAACTACGTCATTTGCCTAAGGGTTATTATACTCACTTTTATGACTAATCCAAACATAAAATTGTACAATACATCCTTGCAATGCACAGATTCACAATTAAAAACATTTTTTGCTTATATGCTAGTATTCTAATTATTCGTGTATTTTTTACTATTATCTTTGACTTAATCCCATGGTTTTTCCTCTTTTGCAGGTTCTCGAATTCATACTCTTCTTTACAATGTATCCATGTATATGTCATATTGCTTACTCTTTCTTTCCCTTAGTGTGTCCCATTTATGGTAGGTATCGTCTTGCACATGTCAACCTCCTCCCTTATAACGGGATTCCCAAGGTCTGTTGCTGCTTTAGGCGAGTTCTCTTTGGATGGACTTTTTAAATTGAGAATTCATTTAAAGAAATAGTGACCATTTATGATTTAACCACTCCCACATCATTTTTGGCATAGTTACACAGCCTCGTATTTCACTTTTATAGTTGTTATATGGTACCTTAAAATTTCAGAGATTAAAACTCAAATTTAAAGATCTGATTGTCTATGCGGGCTTGCCACTACATCACAAGATCTAGTCAATCTCACATTGGATTGGATATAATACATAGCTGATGATGTATGATGAATGTGTTTTACCATGGTGTCATGAGCTTGTCACTTTACAAGCCTACACCCAATTCGCATAACACACCATATGAGATAAAACAGATCTTGTTTGGTTCCATTGTTTAGTGAGAGAGTGTGAGATTAATACATTAAACTCTAGATTCAACCCCTTATTTCTCTCTTATTTAGTCCATCAGTTTGACCCAAATATTTATAATTTCTTCAATTACCTTTCATTGTAAACTTTATCATCACTAGTGAATATTTGAGTGGTTTGCTCCATCTATGTTTTATCATGATTTGGAATTTTTCATATAAATCTTGGTGGTGTGCATGTCTCCATTTTTTGTTGCTTTACTTATTATTGTTAAATCTCGTTATATTTTAGTGATTGGATGTGGTTCCCTATTGCAAGAATTTGGTCGTCTCTGCTGCTATGCAATCCTATTATCTCTTTATCTCTTTATTTATGATTTAGCTCATCACTCATTTATCTTAATGACACAATTACTATTTAAACAATCTCGCTATTGTTCTGAATTTTACAGTTCAGTAATCTATATAACACAATCACTACACTCTCTTTAACATTTTAGAACTACGAGTTTCCTCCAATAAATCAAGAAAGCTTGATATAATTTCTGAATCATTCTGTGTGTGTCTCTTATGCAACCACTCTGCCTGTATCCTAATGTTAACATCCCTACAATACAAATAATTTCAAAGCATTAAAAACCACAGGGCAGTTTTCTATAACGAATATCATCTGGTTGTTTTCCTTTGGACTTCTTTCCATTAGAGAACTATGCTTTCAGTTTTATACTTATTAAAGCGTTTTTCTATAACTGGGAAGTTTTTTCAAAGAAAAATGTTGTAATAGGAATAAATAAAAGTAGAAAGTAGAAACCCATATTAAACAAGTGATGAAAGTAGGCTGCTATTTATTGCATTTATGAAATGTTACCTCCTCAAGGAAAGAACATGATAGTTCCTTCGGAAGTGGCTGGCATGCTTTGTGAGGGCATCTTGGACATAAGGTTTCCCAACGGTTCTTACAGCTGCAGCACTAAGTAGGTTTTCTAATGAACCATGTTTCTTTATAAGTTTTAAGGCAGTTTTCATGCCAAAACCAGGCACCACATGTTGAATTCCAGGAACACCATCTGCTTCATCACCCAAAATGCATCCTATAAACAAGAGATTTATGTAAAAAACACCCTCTTTAAACTAGTTTCATGAACAAGAAATCAGTCTTTCCAAATCCTCTGACAGATTGGACAACTTGAATTCATGATTCAAATCATCACGAGAAAGTGTATACTTACTAAGACTTAAATCAGAGAGCGGATCACACTTGTATTGAGCTATGTAGTGATTGAAGGTATAAAATGACCATCTTTTTAAGTCTGGAAGAGGCATAACAAGCTGCACATCTTGACATATCAATTGCTTGAAATCTTTATCAGGAGAAGCAATAGCAACACGGTATCCCATTTCCAAAACTTGTTCAACAAGTGTAGCAACAACATCATCTGCTTCTTCACCAGGAATCTTCACAACCTGCATATATCATTATCATTCATATAAACTAGAATATATATATATTCTTTTTAATGAAAGGAATTCAAGTAATATTTGTTTAAAGTGATGGAATTATTACTGAGGATTACTGACCGGCACATTACATTTTGTAAGGGTATCTGAAATTAGTTGATATGATCTCCTTATTGGAGCTTTTGCTGATTCCGATACCCATGGTGAAAATTTTCTTCTGTGTGCTTTATATGAAGGTAACATTTGTTTCCTATATTCATGAGCTCCTTCTCCATCAATAACCTGCAACAATGAGATACGAGTAATACAAGTCTTTGTTAATATTTTTTATTCATTAGCAATTTAGTACAGAAGGCTACTTAAGACACATTACACAAAATTCAATTCCAAGACATTTTGCCCTTATTGGTCATAGAGTACTACTATAAATTCATTATCTAGCATAACATCCACCCCAAAACTTGGCGATTTGTAAGGATATGATGAAGTTTCTTAGCGTCTACTGTGATAGAAAACACGATTGTTGAATGGATAAAGTACTACAGCAGCCTAGCAATCAATTGGAGATTCCATAGATAATGAAATGAGCTCAATATGCATAAACTATTGCTGAAATCAACTAAAACATATGGATAAAGTACTACAGCAGCCTAGCAATCAACTGAAAATTCCAGTACACTTCTTCTACTTCTCTGCTAGAAAGAAAAGGAGCTATATTTGATTATATTGTTTCCAAAAAGTCTTTCAGATACCTTAAAATCCAAAGATTTTGACTTAAAGCACTGAGTTATCTAAAACGACCAAACTCTCATTGAGATAAAACAATTGACATGGCATAGAAACGTAATGGAGAGAGGATAGGTGGTGCTTACGGCAATAACAGGGTCTGTAAGGCTGACTTCGGAGAAGAAAAGGGAAATCCAGTGAGCAAAAGAGTGTAAACTCGGGGTGCTACCATCATAACAGATTGGGTTCACATCCAAAAAGAACACCCTTTTCTTCTTCTTGGTGATGATATTATTAACAGTATCATCATCTCCCTTTACTTCGTTTAGGTCATGCTTTGGTTGCAACAGCAGCCCACCAACTGTTCGACCTTCTGTCCGAGAAGAAGAAGCAATAAGGGCAGCACTAGGTTTGGCTCGGAGCTTCGTGCGCATGAAAGAGGGAGCTGAGCGAAGAGTAGTTGGATTATGAACACCCACACACATACCCATCGCTATACGAGCTTCTAGGACGTCCACCATCATCACATTCACCCTGCTGCACCTGCAAGTGTAACTATCTGTTCAATTGATTTGCCGAGGACTCCTAAAATAAAAGAAATGGGTTCATCACCGTGCACTCATCTTAAGTGATTTTTAATAAATTTATTTGGGGGTTTACTATTTTTTTTTTTTTTTTAATTATTATTACAAAAAAACGATTATTATTATTATTATTATTATTATTATTATTATTATTATTATTATTATTATTATTATACTATCATTAAACTTTTACAATATTACTATTATTGTTATTGATAATAAGAGTTTTTTTTTAACAGATTGATAATAAGAGGTTTAGTTGGTAATATTGTAAAAAAAGGAACAAGGCACGTGGATGTTAAGTAACAAGGTAAATATCGGTAATAACTTTTTTCTTTAACAAAAAGAATAGCATTAAACTTAATTTTTTGCAATTTATTACTATTAAATACAAAAACAATTAATAAAATACCATTAAAAAAAATCGGCTTGTAGTTTCATTTGTTTCAAGTTTGTAGGTCTATTATCTGTGTCAAGTGTTGAGACACGTACATTTAAAATGTATATTATTAGTTTAAAATGAATAGTAAAAAAACATCAAACATTAAACATTAGTTCATTATTAAAAAAAAAAAAAAAAAAATATTAATAATGTTTAAAGAGTAAATTGGTTAGAGTTACAATAACCAATCAAAATAATATTTTTCTAAAACAATAAATATTAATTTAATAATAAGTTATATATATATAAAAGTTAAATATAAATATAAAGAATGGTTCATTACCCTATAACATTATTTTTACAAATAAAATACTGAATACATACACCCTTATGTAGACTGTAGTTATGTGTCATAAATTTTTAAACAACAAAGCGTAGTTAAATGGTGCGAATTTGGTGATTCGATCAAACCGATAACATTACATACACTTCATCACCAGTCCACCGGTAAGGTGGTCGTTGAGACCTCCGCCCTCTTTCGATACTCTCGAGGAACCATTTCATACATAAAAACCTCCCCTGCATTTGTTGATCCAACTCTCTGCCTTTTCTTAACAATCAATGATGGCTCAACTCCTCAACTCCTCTTTCACTCCCACCACTCGCGGCCTCCGCCGTCAATCCATACCTTCAATCTCACAATCCACCTCCCGGAAATCCCAAATCCATGCCAAGATCCGAGAGATCTTCATGCCCGCATTGAGCTCCACCATGACTGAAGGAAAGATCGTCTCATGGGTCAAATCCGAAGGCGACAAGCTCAATAAAGGCGAGTCTGTTGTCGTTGTAGAATCTGATAAAGCTGATATGGATGTCGAGACATTCTACGATGGCTACTTGGCTGCCATCATGGTTGAAGAAGGCGGTGTCGCCGCCGTCGGCTCCGCTATCGCCCTCCTTGCCGAAACCGAAGACGAAATCGCCCAAGCTATATCCAAAGCCAAAGAACAATCCTCTTCCTCTTCCTCATCCTCACCTGCTGCTCCTTCATCTCCTCCAGCGGAAACGACAATACCTGATTCTCTCGCCGTCGCAACTGTAGTGAAGGCGGCACCGGTGAAGGCCGTGGCTTCGACACACCCGGCTTCCGATGGAGGCAAGAGGATTGTCGCGTCTCCGTATGCTAAAAAGCTTGCGAAGGAATTGAATGTTGATTTGAGTGGCGTGGTTGGTACCGGACCGATGGGCAGGATTGTGGCCAAGGATGTAGAGGCTGCCGTTGTTGCTTCTGTTGCTGTTCCCGTTGCTGCCGCGGCTGAGTCAGCTAAGCCGATTTCTGCAGTTCCAGGGGTCGAATTGGGTTCTGTTGTTCCGTTTACTACAATGCAGGGTGCTGTTAGTAGGAATATGGTTGAGAGTCTTGGAGTTCCTACCTTCAGAGTGGGATATACAATCACCACTGATGCTCTTGACGCTCTCTACAAAAAGGTAACTTTTTGAAGCTTATGAGAACTGGAAATTGCTTTAATCGATTGTTATCTTCAACATTTGATTGCTGTTCATTCTGGTTTTGTTTTTGAATGAATCTTTGTGCACTTGGAGCTTACATGAACCTGTTGAAAGTGCTAATTGTGGCTCTAATTACTTGTTTTCTTGATGTTTCCAAGTGTTTTACCATCATTATCTACGTGTAAATTTGTAGATCAAACCAAAGGGAGTGACCATGACAGCTTTGTTAGCCAAAGCTACAGCGCTTGCATTGGCTAAACACCCTGTTGTGAATTCAAGCTGTAGAGATGGAAAGAGCTTTACATACAACAGCAATATCAACATTGCTGTTGCAGTTGCAATTGATGGTGGATTGATTACTCCCGTGCTTCAGAATGCTGATAAGGTGAACTTTTTTTCCCCCCATTAATGGGGAAACTCTCTTTTTTTTTTCTGACTTTCTATGTTAAGTTGTTCTTTCTGAATTAAGTCAAAAAGAATACTCATACATAGCTTACAGCTTACTGGATTAAGTCTTGTCCTCATGAAGTCCAGCAAGTAAAAAAAAAGCACCTTAGTTTACTTGATGGATGCTTACTTTTATGTTGTATTGTTTTTTTTAAAGGTTGATATATATTCGTTATCAAGAAAGTGGAAAGAATTAGTGGACAAGGCCAGGGCAAAACAGTTGCAACCTCAAGAGTACAGCACAGGTAAACTCTCTGATAATCAGTCAATCGAAACATACATCTATATGAAATCTGTGTACTCTTATGCCCTCTATGCTTTTATAGATTCAAATACTCTATAACATTACATTTCCTTTAGTACCCTTTCATGTTAAACAATTTCGGGATGTTTTTGTTATGTTCCCAAGTTTTGTTATAGTATTGTAGAAATATAGCAGCGTATTTGTCAAATATTATCCTTTTTATGGTTACTTTAATCAAAATAAATCTTCTTGAAAAGTTGGTTGTAAGGAATCTTGTTTAATCTGTTGCAGGTACATTTACTCTTTCCAACCTTGGAATGTTTGGAGTGGATCGCTTTGATGCCATCTTGCCACCAGGAACTGTGAGTTTCCATATTTAACCTCAAGCTCTATCATATGTGACATTAACATTACCATATCATATGTTCTTTAATCATGTTTTTGTGCAGGGTGCAATCATGGCTGTTGGGGCATCTGAGCCCACTGTTGTTGCCACCAAGGATGGTCGAATCGGCATGAAGAGCCAGATGCAGGTATGTTCACAGTTACTTTTAGCCTGCATTTGCTGTACATGACACGAGGATAAGGGCATTTATGTCTTTTTCACATATTGCTTACATGGGTTGGGTTTGCAGGTAAATGTTACAGCGGATCATCGGGTAATATATGGGGCGGATCTTGCACAGTTCTTGCAGACACTAGCAAAGATCATTGAAGATCCTAAAGATTTAACATTCTAGTGTGTGTGATAGAAAAGAATTAAAAAAAGACCTTTTTCTTTTTGTGCTTATTTCATATTTAAGGTTGATCCTGTTGGGCTATTTGTTTAGACAATCGGAGAAGGTATTCATGAGTCTTGTTAAAATTTTGAAGCATGGCAATGACATTTGTTAGTAAATTTGGGTAATATTATAAGCACAGCACGAAGATGCCAAACTCTTGGCTTACTAGATTTGCAAATATCTTTTTAAACAAGTATTACAACATTATCATGTTAACCTTAGCCAACACTTGCCAAATGGCCTTCTAAAATATCGTTCCTCACATCTATTGTTTAAACAAGTTCTACAAATGGCACGGTTTTAAATAGTTACAACCGGGAGTTCACTGATAAAGAACCTATTAGTAGTATGTTTGAACGTTAATCATTACACAATTGTACATTGTATTTATTTTTTCTATTTTTTTTAGTAAAGACAAAGTCTAATTAGCATCATGCCTTGGTGTAGTTAAACAAGATAGCTATAAAGGCTACTATCAAATGAGGACTATGCCAAAGCTAATTAAACCAAAAGGGTGAGTGGTTTTGAGAAGAATAAGTCACTAAATATATATTTACAAAAAGTGCGGATATATGTTGATGACGACAACTCCGTATTTAGTAATCTAATTACACACTAAGTATCGTTTACACAGATCCAAATAACCCACTTCGTATTAAAAAAAAAAGGTTCGTATCGTGTTCTATTTTGCTTAAAAATACCATACCAAGCATATTGGCCATCGTCTTAGTTTCTTGCATTAAGGAGCATTCGTAACACACTCCTCATTTTCGGTCTCTCTTCGGGTGAAACACTGACACAAGCTAAAGCAACCTTAAGGACTGCTAACATCTGGTCTCTAATGCCTGAGGATGTCCTACTCACGGTGGAGTCAAGCACTTGGTCAAAGTTATCTTGATTTGACTTGCTTGACACCCACTTCACTAATTCAGATCCTTCACTAACAGCTGCTTTTCCTGTCAACAACTCAAGCAAAATCACACCGAAACTGTAGACATTTCCAGCTGTTGTCAACCTCATTGAGTAAGCATACTCTGAAACCCAAAAACCCAATTATAGTTAGGGACTTTTGATCATCTTTCTTACGCATCACATGACATGACTATATTTAGCATAAGTATGAATGATAGAAAATATGCATCAAAGATACCTGGTGGGACATAACCGACAGACCCAGCAACAGCAGAAACATTGCCTGTGCTCTTTGAAGGATCAATCACTTTAGAAAGCTCGATATCTCCAATCTGAGGCTCATTTATGGACTTGAGCATAACAGATTTACTTGAAAGATCAAGGAGGGTGATTTGACCCGAAGGGCATCCATGGAGAAACGCCAGACCATTAGCGACACCTATAGCTATACTGTACCTATTACTCCAATCCAAACCCCTTCCCAAACTTCCATGAAGAACATCATATAGAGTTCCATTCTCAGTGTAATCATAGAAAAGATAAACACTTTCGGTAGTCAAGGTATAGGCAAGAGGGATCATGACACTGGAATTTCTCAACTTCCCAAGAACTCGGAGCTCTTCTTGCAACCGATCATGGCTCCCAATTTGGAATATTTTGTCAACCCCATTAAGCTTCTTGATGAAATACATCATCCCTGATGGCATCACAGCCTTGTAATATGTAGAGAATCTCGTCTTCAAAACAATA